CTGAGAGGAAATTTTGCAATGTGATTTTCCCAGCCTAGGTCACCAAGCCGAACACCCCAAGAAACAAAAAAGATGCCTGTATTTCTTCACCTTAATCAGAAGGAATTTTCAAAGATGTCTCTCATGAATTCCATGGACATCAAAATCTCATCTCCAATAAGGAGCCAGACAGAAATATTAAAAGGTGCTAAACTGGTTCTTCTGGTATTTATTTAATATAAAAATTTGGACTTTGGAATCTCACCATGGCCAAATTTGTTAGGTGAATAGACGCTATAGTCTTGAAACATTGCTTAACTCTCCCACTCTGGTGAGTGTTCCGGGTCTATTCATTCTGAGCTGAAAGCAAGGAAGTTAGCTAACCCCCCACCCCCACCCCCCGTGGATCCTGGCAACATGTGGGGTGTGAAGGGATGAGGAGGTCATCTTCACAGTCGTTGAGTTGCTGTCCAAGAGTTGCAACCACAGCCAAGGCCATAAATTGTGGTCCATGCACTTCACTGTGCTCTTCCTCACCCTGCGAAACATGGGAAAGACTCAGTCCATAGGCAAAATAACTCTGTTAACACCCTCCTGATATTTCAGGCACCCTGCACAAATTGGCATATTCTCTCTCCTAACTGGTAGCCTTGTAATATTGTACATCAGTCTCTCAACTAAATAGAATCACATGGGCTCCTTGGTTGCTCAGTCAGGTAAGCATCTGACTCTTGATTTCAGCTCGGGTCATGGTCTCAGGGTCATGGTCTCAGGGTCATGGGATGGAGCCCTGTGACTGGCTTTGTGCTGGGGGTGGAGGCTTCTTGGGATTTTCTCCCTTTACCTCTGCAACCCCCCCCCCATTTAAAAAAAAATAGAATCACACTAGAAAAGAACTTCCATTCACCATGATCATGCACTTATTGCAGGAAAAGGCAGATATCCAAGAAAATCATTTTTACTTTGCTAAGTCCTGTTGTTTTTTAAGCTGTTGTTTGCATTGTGTTTTGTTTTGTATATTGTTTAGAGGAAATCACAGGTGTTGAGCACACAGTCTAATAGCTTTCATGTTTTCCAGCTACAGTCATGGCAATGAAGTTTGATCTCTGCAATGATGTCTCTTAGACACTACAACCTCACAGCGATTCCTCAGAACATGTCATACTCACTTCTGACCCCCCATCTTTGCTTGTGCTATTCCCATTCCAAACCCTTCCTCGTCTAGCTCAGTCATCTGGGTCTTGCCTATGTTCTCACATTTTCTGCCTCCTTTCACTCACCTCCTTCCTCTTCCTTCGATTTCTCAACCTTACCTGCCCAGTTGTCTCCCCTCCCCGAACCCTATAGGCCTGAAGCGTAGATCACTCATTAAGAGACAACAGCTGTTAACATGGTCTCCCACGGAAAACTGTTTTGTGGGTGTCATTCTTATGTTCCCTACCTGCACAGTGAGCACTTGAATTTTCAGATGGGGTGACCTACTTTTTTCTTTCCCCATTTGAAGCTGGGGTGGTGCTTTACATGTAGTAAAAAAAATGAGCAGTGATTATAATAACAGCTGAAACTTCTGGCAGGCTTACTGTGTGCCAAGTGCTGTGCTGAGCAATATGCATGAATCAGAGTTATTGCTATTTTGCAGATGAGAAAACAAAGACAGGGAGAGGGTAATAATTTGCCCAGATCACGGAGCTGACGAGTGGTACAATGGAATTTATCCATCACATATTCTGTTCGGTTTGCTAGACTCTGAGAAGAAAAATGGCTTCATGAATATTTTCACATATCTTTTGTTTTTAAATATTTATTTATTTATTTTAGAGAGAGAGCACACAGCCGTACGTTGAGGGTAGGGGCAGAGGGAGAAGGAGAAAGAGAATCTCCAGCAGACTCCCCACCGATCACCGAGTCCAACATGGGACTCGATACCATGACCCTGAGATCACAACCTGAGCCAAAAATCAAGAGTTCGATGCTTAACCGACTGAGCCACCCAGGGGCCCCCAAAATTGGTTGTTTTTTTAAGAAGAGAGAGAAAGCCATCTCCCTTTCCTGAGTGGTACTCAGTCTAGGAACACACAATGTCATTGCAGTTTGGAAATCAAACACATTAAAAAGCAAGACAAGACCAAAGCTTGAATATGACCAACATCTCTGCTCATTTGAATTTAACATTTCCAAGGTATGCCTATTTTGATGACTCTTTCAGTTTATTGGTAAGGCTTAACTAACAAAATATAAAAACTAACTCATGGATTATTTCCTTTAATTTCATATACCTGTATTCAGAAGTTGAGTTCTGTCTAGAAACAAAACTAGAAAAAAAAAACATTTTCCCCATTGAACGCAAACTGGTGTAGCCACTGTGGAAAACAGAATGGAGATTCCTCAAAAAGTTAAAAGTAGAACTACCATATATATGATCCAGTAATTGCAGTACTGGGTATTTACCCAAAGAATAAAAGACACTAATTTGAAAGGCTGTATGCACCCCTATGTTTATTGCAGCATTATTTACAATAACCAAATTGACTCAAGTGTCAAGAAACAACTCAAGTGTCCATCAGAAGATGTGGTGTACACACACACACACTCCCACACACACGCACAGTGGAGTATCATTCAGCCATAAACATAATGAAATCTTGCCATCTGTGACAACATGGATAGAACCAGGGGGTATTATGGTAAGTGAAATAAGTCTAATTCAGAGAAATACAAATGCTATAGGACTTCACTCATATGTTGAATTTAGGAAACAAAATAAACAAAGGGAAAAAGAAGAGACAAACCAAAAACCAGGCTCTTAACTCTAGAGAACAGATGGTTACCAGAGGGGAGGTGGTTGAGCGGATGGGGGAAGCAGGAGAAGGGGATTAAGAGTACACTTACCATGATGAGCACTGAGTAATGTATAGAATTATTGAATCACTATATTGTGCACCTGGAACTAATATAACACTGCATGTTAATTATACTGGAATTTAAAAAATTAAACATAAATAATTAAAAAAACAAAGGCAAAAAAAATCATTTTTTCTCTCATTATCCTATGATACATTTTGATGTTTGTTAATGTCGTATATACCAGTAGCTGCTCTGATATACCCCCTCTGTTCCACTGATAAGGAGTGCCCTTTTGAGCCAGCATTAGTCTTAAGAATTAGTGTTTTGTGGTTTGTTCTAATAAATATGTGGTCAGTTGAATCTCTTACATACTTACTATTCTTTTGTTTTCTTGCTTATTTTTCCATTTTAATTGAAATTGTGTTAAAATCAGAAAATTATCTGGAGCAAATGGTCATATGTACATATATGCTGTCTTTCCATCCAAGAGCATATCTGTAGTGAATCGTTTTGCAAATAACACCTAAATCTTACATACTCTGTCGGCATTGCTTAAATCTCTCAGTGGCGCCTAATCTCCCTTTAGCAACAGGGTCCAATTCTCTTTGTAACATTCAGCAGCAAAGTGAATGCTGTGCAGAAGCTTCTCTTTACACTGACCTAGTTTATTTATTTATATTTATTTATTTACAGATTTTATTTATTTAACTGAGAGGAAGAGAGCACAAGCAGGGGAACAGCAGGCAGAGCAAGCAGAGGGAGAAGCAGGCTCCCTGCCGAGCGAGGAGCCAGATGTGGGACTCGATCCCAGGACCCTAGGATCATGACCTGAGCTGAAAGGCATCTGCTTAACCGACTGAGCCATACCCAGGTGTCCCTACGCTGACCTCGTTTTGCTCAGAACTTAACCTCCTTTCTTTAGGAGGCCTGGTCTTGGTCCCTTTCTTTCTGACATCCAGAACATAGAAGACAGCCTTCTGGAACTCAGTTGCTTCCACTTGGTAGAGTCTGTATCACTCTGCCCACTCTTGCTCACCCATTTTTGTCCTTCTGCCAGCATCTATCTGTAAAACATTTGGGGATCAGGAGATGTTCGGAAAACATCAAAAAGGGAGCGCCCGGGTGGCTCAGTCGGTTAAGCATCTGACTTTGGTTCAGGTCATGATCTCAGGGTTCTGGGATGGAGCTCAGCGAGGAGCCTGCTTCTCCTTCCTGTTCACTCCCCACATTCATGCTCTCTCTGTCTCTTGATTAATTAAATATTAAATCCTTTTTTAAAAAACCATTATGGTGATGTTATCACAGGTATATGCATATGTCCAAACTCATTGAAATGTGTACTTTAAATATGTGCATTTTTATGATTAAGTATACCTTAACGAGGCTGAAAGAAAGCAACCAAAGTTTTTAGTAAATTTGGTAAGCTTTGGTGAATTAAGTCATATGGTAACTCGATCCTTCAAAGAATGGCCCACTTGTTCACTTGGTCATTCTGTGACTCGGCTTTGGGTGACATGGCTCTTGATGAACTGACTTGGAGACCAATCTGTGCCTTCTAATACCAAGCAAATGACGTAGGATTTTTATCCACAGATAGATCCTCTTGAGAACTTCCCCGTGGAAACCAGTGCTCTGTCATGAGAAGGAAAATTCTGGGATTTTATCCTCACATAACTGTGGGAACAAATCACTCTTGACTTTCCCTTTCCCTGGACTTTTCTAGTTCCTCTCTCCCCTTACCTTCCTAGTAACAGGCGAATTGGGCAGAAGGGGTGGGGTCTAGGGGTCTAGGAAGGTTTGGGGTCTGGGTGGTAATGGGGAGAATGACGGCAGGGCCTCTGGGTGCATCCCGCTCTTCACAATCCCTGGTATTTGTGGGGAGCAGCGGCTGCTAGAGGAGGCCCCCCTCCTCCCGCCACAAGCCCCTGACGTCTTTGTCTTTCTGCATCTTGCTGCGTATGTTCCCCAGAGTTCCCAGAAGGAAAACTAATGAGTGCTGCCATGGCAACCACTTTAGCCAGGCAGGAAGTAAAGCTGTGACATTTCTGCCTGCTTGGGCTCTGTGAGGGAGGGGGAAGTAGGAGACAGTTGAGGGGAGAGTGTGATTGGTCCTGGTAACTCTCTGATCTCAGTGAGAGGACCGTTCTGTAATGTTCAGACCCTGTTTCTTCCCAGCAGGAGACTTGCAGAGCTTGCAGGGCTGTGCCAGGATGGAGCGGAGGGATAAGCCTTACCCGTGGTATGTATGACCGGTCCTTATTTGCCAGTCACTGGGTTAAGGGCTCAGTATCTGTTAGGCCATTTCCTTCTCACAACAGATATTCATATTTTCATATTAGATTTCAGAAAACAAGAGGCGAAGAGCATTAATCTGCCCCAGACGCAAACCCAGAGCTTCTGTGCTTTTTGCTTGGCTATTCCCAGATTCTGAGATCAGGGCCTCTGTTGTATGCTTGATGGTTTCCTTTAAAGGTAACTTTTACGGGGACACCTGGCTGGCTCAGTCAGTAGAGCATGCAGCTCTTGGTCTCAGGGTGATGAGTTCAAGCCTCGTGTTGGGTTTAAAAAAAAAGTCTATTCAAAAAAACCTTAAAAATAAGGACCTCTTTTACAAAACACAGATGACAGAGAGTATACGATAATGGTTATCAACTCAGAATCAGGAACAATTTACGTAGCACTTTTTTTTTTCCAAATTCCCTTGCATAAAATGGGGATAACAATAATGCCTATTGAATAGGATTTTGATGACGATAAAATCAAGTGGTTCATTGAAAGAATAAGAACACCTGGTACACCATGGCCTTTCTCCTTAAGGTTTACATATTATTCTTGTTCATTAGTATTATTAGTAGGAGGTGTATAAATGCTCTTCTTTTAATGGTCTTAACTGGTGAAAGGAGAAGACCGCAATCTGTGTCAGAACCCAGTTTTGTTATTTAGTCCGTGAAATCCGCAAGGCTGGGAGTCTCTGCCCTTAACCAGTGTGCTTTGTATATGGAGCGGCTGATTTCTCGTGTTCAAACAACTGGTCTCCATCCCAACAAAGGCAAGTACTTTGCTAAGCGTTCTCTCTCTTCAGGAAGAACTGTTGAGCTCGCTTCCTGGAAGACAGGGCACACGTCCAGGCACGCGTCCAGGCCCGCCACACGCAGGTTGGCCTCCCCAGCTGGTACAGAGAGGTAAGCGCCTGGGAGTGCCAGGGTGGAGGTGGGGGGAGGAGTGCGGAAGGTGGGGTGGCTTTGTGGGAAGAAGGACCAACTGTGGACTTGGTCGCAAACCAGGGATCTGCCTCAGCCTGGCCCTGTGACTTCGGGCGGGTGCTTTCAGCTGTTGGAGCTTCCTCTGAGCAGTGGGATCGTAATAGGTGTTGACAAGGCTGAAAAGAAGATGAAATGAAGGAATTCATATAGAGCACCTGGAACAGGGCCAGGCTTGCTGTAGGCCTTCAGTAAACATTAGCTACCCCACTAATGATGATTAAGAGCCTAACCAGAACAGACAGAATAAACAAGTGGGGGCCTTGGAAAGAGCCCACATGTTCCCTGAAGCTGGGAACATTTTCTCAGTACTCCAGGCACGGGTGTAGCTTGAGCTGTCGCTGTTCGAGTCCGTGCCCAGCCGCCAGGGCCCGAGCAGGATACGTGTGGATGCTCGGCGCGGAGACCGCTGTCGCTGTCGGTGATGGCGCCCAGCTTCAGCTCCGCTCACTTGTCCAGATCCCACAGAGCCCCTCGCACCAGTGGCTGTGAACCTCGCGGTGCCACAGCTGGCGCCCAGCCGTAGCCCTGCCCTCTCCCCGTGTTCCCTGGGGACCTCTGCGATAAGAGCCCGAAACACCCAGCCCCGAAGCAAGGGTTTTCCTAAGGGGCAGAGCTCTGAGCTCCTTCGTGTCATGCTTTGAGGGCAAGGACAGCAAGACCCCCTGGGACCCCTGGCAAGGGTAAGTGGCCTGGCTCCTGGCCCAAAACCTTGGCGTGATCTTTCAGGCATATACAAGGGATTTGTTGGGTGTCCTGGAAAGATGCTGGTTTCTCCACATGCCACTCGGTGCACAGCCCTGTGCAGTGCATTCGCTGAGGGAGCTGCAGGCACGGACCACTGGTCAGCCACGAGCCCAGGTGCCTCTGTTCGGGGGCTTTTTACCAGGGGCCTATGGCAGAGGCCTTCCTCGGCCCCTCTGTCAAGGCCTCCTCATGTGGGGCCGTGGAGCACTTCCAGATGCATTTCCTCCACTCAGTACTCAGGACTTTTCCAGTCCTAGCCTTTTCTCTTCCCCTCCTCCTGCCTGTGGGTCCCTAAAATGGCGGGAACCTTCTGTTCAGGGCTTCCTCCACAGGGAGACCATTCCTCGAGGCTGCGCTAAGCCACTCGACCCTTGCTGGAGCCGTTCCGTGGGAGAAAATGGGACAGTGGGGTCACTCTGCACCTTCTCTGGTTGACCCCCAGGTTATACTCTCAAAGGAAGTGACTCAAGGCTTGACTGTTAGTTCTTTCTTGACTTCCTGTTTCAATCGACTGCTCTGAAAACCGGCGACTCCGCTCTCTCTGGCTCAACTCAGCTCTTGACTAAGAGGTGCAGTAAGTAGGGTGGTTGGTGTTGAAGAGCCCGAAGCCTGAAAACCTCATGGGGCACTTCACCAGGGGGTGCCGGCGTTGTGTGCTGGCAAGTCAGCTGCTGGAGGCGGAGGCTCTCATGGGCCACTTGGCCAAGGGGGGTCAGGAAGTGGCAGTAGGAGCCACGGGGCGTTCTTGGAGGATGGCAACAAAGTGTCTGTCCGTCCTTCCTCCCTCCTTCCCTCCCCCTTTCTTTCTTTTAGATTTATTTATTAGAGAGCAGGAACGGGAGGGGCAGAGGGATAGGGAGAGAGAATCTCCAGCAGATTCTGTGCTGAGCATAGAGCCCGAGACGAGGTTCAATCTTAAACCCTGAGATCATGACCTGAGCCGAAATCGAGAGTCAGCCCCCCATGTGCCCCGCAAATGGTTTATATATGCTTCTTGGTTCCAAGGTAGACCATCGGTCCTTCTCTTTAGCTCCCAACACCCTGGCTGAAATCGTTGGGTGGGTCACATTCGAAATCCAACAGCGAGGGCCTGTAAGAAGCCAGGGAAGCAGTCCCCTCACTATTGTTTCCAGTTCTCTGAGGACGGGACGGGGAGTCGTCAGAGAGCACAGAAACTGAGTTGCACCCAATGACTGTTCTTAGATCTAAGCCCGTCCCTGGTGCACGTGGACAGCCTGCTGGACAGTGTGTTATTGAGACTCGTGCTTCTAATTTAAAAAAAAAAAAATGTAGAGCTCTTTGAGATTGCTATGTCCAGTGGTCTGAGGAGACCTTAGTAACTTGACAAGTTTGCGTCCGTGATGAAAGAGGGGATCTTGTTCAACTTCACGAGGGAAAGTGGCTCCGAGTGAGGTGCATCACCATGGACTCCCTCCTCCAGAGCCTTGACGGTAGCCACCTTGCTTGAGGAGGAGGAAGGGAGAGAGCGGAGGGTGGGATTACAGAGATCCTCTTCTCAGCTCTGGGCTCTGACAGATTTGGCCACACGGGATGAGGCAGTCAAGAAACCTGGGTGGAGTGCCCTTACAGAGCTACGGAGGTCCTCCACTCCGCCTGGTGGTCTTTGGGGTCTACAGTGAGGGAGTGGGAGCTGTGTTGGATGAGATTTTTCACCAGGTGAAGATCCTTAGGTTTGTTCATGCTGGTCCTGCTGGTTAATGAACCCAATTAAACGTCCACCCAATTAAGCTTCAGAATGAGGTTAAGTGAGTCAGCCACACAATCTGGATCTTCACTGAGAAATTTCTGGTTGCTGAGAAAGTGGCTACTGCAGAAATAGCAAATGGTGATCAGGAGCCCTCTGGTGGACTCTCTGGGCAAGAGCTTTTCCAGAGACGGCTCTGGGCCCAGTCACTCAGCAACAGACCCTCAAAGGAGGAGATGGACGTACTCCCCACTAAGGAGCTGAGCATGGAGCCCGACACCATGGAGCCCGGCCAGTACCAGCTCATGGGGGACTTGATACAGGGGCCTGCTAGGGTCTGCATGGCGATGGCCCTCTGCCTGTCCTGCTGAACTGGGAGATGCCTCCGAGGGCCCCCAGTGTCTTAGTGTCCTAGCTCAGGACAGAATTAGTGGCCCGCTGTTGGGCCCTGTTGGATACTGAGCACATGCTCGATGGTTGTGAGGTAATCTTAAGACCAGAAATCCCCATCGTGTCCCGGATCCCAGCAGATGTCTCAAATCACCTGGTGGAGGTGATTCAAGAGCCTTCTATACTAAAATATAAATGGTACCTGCAGGGATGTACAAAACTCGGCCCCGAAGAGGTCTCTTCACTCCAAGAAAAGATCTCAGGAGTGTCCCTCTGGCTCCCTGGCGTATTTCCCAAGGAGGCACTGTCTCCACCAGACCAGTGAGGTCCCCGAGGTAAAGGCTTCCTGGACCGCAAACGGGGCTGTTCACTGCCTGCTCCTCCTGGTTAATAACAAGTGGGAATGGTGTGCGCTGCCATCCACACAGAGACAGACCTTTCCCTTCCTGAGTGTGGCAAGGGATGCTCGGTCTAACGGGCAGAGCTGCGTGCAGGATGGCTGGCTGGCTGGCCCGGCCATGTCCATAAAGGAGGCTCACTGTGTTTTCGCGACCGGTACACTGTGGCGAGTGGCCTCGACATTTTTGGGGGCCTCTGGCAAGACTCAAGTTGGCATGTAGAGCAAGCCTCCCTGTGGGGACTAGCCCCTGGGGTAGAAATGAGTTCTGCTCCTATTAAGCTTCTTGTTACCTGTGTGGGTGCTTACCAGAAAGGCCCCAATGCTGACAAGGGGGGAACATCACAAACAGGCAGACTGTGCTCATCAACCACACAGGGAGACTGAAGTGTCCTTTTATTTTATTTTATTTTAAGAGTTTATTTATGACAGAGAGAGACAGCAAGAGAGGGAACACAAGCACGGGGAGCTGGAGAGGGAGAAGCAGGCTCCTTGCCAAGCAGAAAGCCTGATGTGGGGCTCCATCCCAGGGCTCTGGGATCATGACCTGAGCCAAAGGCAGAGGCTTAATGACTGAGCAACCCAGGCGCCCCTGAAGTGTCCCTTTACCCCAGAGCAAGCAGATCCGCTTCTAGGATCCACAGGAAGATGGCCATTAGGAATTCAGTGTAGGGAAGGAAAAATTTTTTCTCTACCCTTCAAGGTCTTCTAGCTCGATTAAATTAAATTTACAGGAGACAGATTAATAAAAAAAAAAAAAAAAAACAAACAAACCCTATCATTATGTGGGCACAGAGGCCCAGTAATGAAATTGAGACCTCAGGAAATGACCAAAGTAGGCAGTTTTTATACTTTTTAGACCAAGAGTCATTAAGCTTGTGAAGAATTGACAGGATAAAGAAAACAGGTGTTTGGGGGCGTGACTAGGGGATTCTAAGCAGAATTTAGGCTGAGGTAGTAGATTAGGGGGAAAAAAACACCACAAGGTTTGTTTCTACGGTTTTCTCAGCTTTAAAGTCTCTGTCTCTGGTCGTAAAGATGTATTTTTTTCACTTCTTAGTACAAAGAGGGCATTTTTCACAGGAGAGATCAGTTTCCCTCTTTCTTGGGGAACAGGACAGTCTGAGTGTCCTTATATGAGCTATAACTTCTCTTTAAAAAAATCAGTATGCCAGCGTGGCACATTTTGGGGTGGCCTGCCCTTGGCCCCACATTGGAAGCCATCCTAGATGGGGCCCACGTGCCTGGGCTGCGACTGGTGTCTGAAGAAAACACTGGGCAAAGCTCCTTGGTGTGGGTCCTGCGGGTGATTGCTTGGATGGGACACAGAAGCACATGCGTCAAAGCGGAAGTAAGGAAAGGAGGTAACCTCAGCCCAACAGGCTTCCACACCATGACGGGAACCCTCAACAGAATGAAAAGGAGAAAATATTGGTGGCCCATGTGTCTGCTAAGAGGCTAATCTCTAAAATACACAAGGCACTTCTGTCATTTAAGACGGGAAAAGCAAGTAACAGGTTAAAGGTCCTTTGCCCTGGGTGGACGCTTTTCCAGAGAAGTCGTACACACAGCACCACTCCTCAGCGGGAAAACGCAAATCAAAAGCACAATGAGATCTCACCTTCGGGGGGGAGCAACATTGTCACCCCAAAATGTGTCTCTTTGGCACCAGGATTAATTTAGGCTGATTCTTTTTAAGAAACAGAAGACTCAGGAAGTTTTTCTTTTTACCTCTTTTTGCCTTTACCACACTGCCTGGGAGAATTTAGATAGAGGCCCTCTTCCCGGAGCCAAGCTACCATCCTAGACCGTGACCGTGTAACGTGACGGCCGCTGTGGTAGACAGGGAGGAACCAAGCCAAGTCTCTGTTAATATGCCTCCCTGCATCTTGTTTCTTTGTGGCCCAGCAAATATCTGTTTACCAGACATTTATTCTTTTTCATCTTCCTGTGAATGGCTTTCCTTCCCTTTGAAGCCTCAGACCCCTCCCCGCTTCTCCTCAGTTCAGGAGGACGTACCTAACTTCATTTTTGCCTGGAATGTCTTAGGTCTATGGGGATTCCCCGCAGGTATATAATTAAATTTGTTTCTCTCCTATTATTCTGCCTTGTGTCATTTTGATCATTCAGCCAACCCGCCAAAAGTGCCAAGGGGGTAGGGAGAAACTGTCCCTTCTCTGACAACCTTACACCTGTTGAGATGGCTACTGTCAAAAAGACAGGAGATAACAGGCGCTGGCCAGGAGATGTGGACGAGGGAAGCCTCGTGCACTATTGGTGGGAATGTCAATTGGTGCAGCCACTATGGAAAAACGGCATGGAGATTCCTCAGAACCTTAAAAATTGGATCACTGTATGATCTGACAATCCCACTTCTGGGTATGTTCATGGCAGCATTATTCAAATTATTCACAGTAGCCAAAACTTGGGAACAACCTGAGGGTCTGTAGATGGATGAAGAGATAAAGATATATATATATAAAATGTGGGAGAGATATATAATGTGAGATGTGTATATATATGTGTGTGTGTGTATATATAGATATAGATATAGATAAAGATATAGATATAGATATAGATATAGATATATATCTGCTGTCATTTGTGACAACATGGATAAAACCAGAGGGCATTTTGCTAAGTGAAACAAGCCAGACAGAGAAAGTAAATACTGTATGATCTCATGCATATGAGGTGCATATGTGGAATCTAAAAAAAAATTAAATTAAACTCATAGAAACAGAGTTGAACGGTGGTTGCTAGGGGCTGGGAGAAATCAGATCTTTGTCAAAAGATGAAAAAGTTCTAGGGATCTAATGTTTGGTGTGGTGACCACAGTTGTTAATAATGTATTGTGTACCTGACATTTGCTAACCGAGTCTATCTTTTTCTCTTTTTGTCAAGTTTTAGGTATTTATTGATGATTTTGTGCATTTAGGGGGAAGTCTTTCCTGGATAAGTGGAAAACTGTGCAGGTGGCTTCTGGAAGCTCTGCATTTTAGGCAGGTTTATAGTGAAACATTTCATTTAGAAGTCTGGACCTTCTTTTTTTTTTTTTTTTTCTTTAGAAGTCCGGACCTTCTTCCGTTTGCTGTCATCTGCGTTCACTGAGTAGACCTTGTGTTGATGACTGGGACCCAGTGTGTCCCAGGGTTGTGGACTGAACGAATACCAGGCGCCAGACGTACAGCTCTGCTCCCGTACCTCTGACCCCACGACAAAGGAAGAGAGGCCCTGAGCTTGGCAGCTTCTTGGAACGTCCCAGAAGATCTGGAGTCTAGAAGGAGAGAACAGGTCTGCAAGGAAGAGATTCTGTTAAGAGAATAGATCTTCAGACTTCTTTCTACACACAGGAAAGGTAACTGTGTGAGGTGAGGGGTGTATTACAATTACCTTAATTGTGATCATCATTTCACAATGTGTACGTATATCAAATCATATTACGCACTTTAATTCTATACAATTTTATCAATTAAAAAGAAAGCTGGGAAAAATACAAATAAAATGTCAAGCAGATCCCCTGATGGGTGGTTCTGTTGAGTTCAGCTTTATCCTTGCTGACTGTCTGCCTACTGGGCCTGTCAGTTACTAATAGAGGGAGTGTGGAAATCCCTCACGTTAATAGTGGGTAATCTATTTCTCTGCATTTTTGTCAGTTTTTGCCTCTTGTATTGTGACGCTTTGTTGTAAAGTGCATATATTTCAAAGATTATTGTGTCTTCTCAGAGAATCGACCCCCCCCTTATTATGTAACACCCTCTTTATTCCTTGGAAGTTTCCTTGTTCAAATGCCTTTTTTGTCTGAAATTAGTATCACTACTCCAACTTTCATTTGATTAGTGCCTGTGGTACCCCTCTCCCTGCTCTTTTACTCTTAATATTTGTGTGTTTTTATATTTAAATTGGGTTTCTTATAGACACCATAGAGTCCGGTCTAGTTTTTCACCTACCCTTACAGTGTCTTCTTTTAACTGGCGTATTTAGAGCACGCCCATTTAAAGTGATTATTGATAGTTGGATTTATATCTACCATGTTTGTCAAAATTCTGTATTTGTTGCACTTGTTCTTTGTTTTTTTCTTAATCTTTCTGTTTCTGCCTTCTCTTCTAATTGAGCATTTTTTATTATTCCATTTTCTCTTCTCTCTCAGCGTATCAGTTATATTTCTTTTTAACTTTTTAGTGGTTTCCCTAGACCTAGACTGCGCAACATAAATTTACAACTAATCTAGGTCCACCTTCAGACAACACTGCACCACTGTCTGGGCAGTGTGGGTGTAACAGAGAACCCCCAGCTCCCCACTCCCATCCCTTCATAACACTGCTACCGCCTCTTGCACTGACCTCCGCGCTATGATCACCCGTATGTTGTGGCTGTTATTCCTTTGAACAGTTGTCCTTTAGAGTAAATAAGAAAAATAAAATATTGTATTTTAGTCTTCACTTATGCCTTCTCTGATACCTTTCCTTTATTCATGTAGACTCAAATTTCTGACTAGTACCATGCTCCTTCTCTCTGAAGACCATCTTTATCATTGACTGGTGACAAAAATTCTCTCAGTGCTGTAAGTCTGAGTATTTCACATTGAATTATGTCCCCCTCCAGAAGTCATATGTCAAAGCCCGAGCTCCCAACATGACTGTATTTGGAGACGGGGCCTTTAGAAATGTCATTGATGTCACCTGTGGTCATAAGGGTGGGGCCTTCCTGCAATTTGGCTGGTGTCCTTGTAGGAAGAGGAAGAGACCCAAGGATGTGCGCGTGCGCTCAGGGAGGTCAGGCCGTGCGAGGAGACGGCTGTCTCCAAGCCGAGCAGAGAGGCCTCTCGAAAGGCAACACTAAAGCACCTTGATCTTTGACTTTCAGTCTCCAAAACTGTAGAAAATCCTTTTTGTGTCGTTGTTTAAATCACCCAGTTTATGGTATTGTGTTATGGCAGCCCTAGCAAACTGCTATACCAAGAAAGTCATTATTTTCCCTTACTTCGGAAGAATGATTTTTCTGAATATGTAGACTCCCTTGGTTGGTGGGTTTTTCTTTCACCACTTTAAATATTTCATTCTACTCTCTTCTGGCTTGCATGATTTGTGAAGCAAGTCTGATGTAATTCCTGCCTTTGTTCCTCTCTAGATAAGGTGTTTTTATCCTTTGACTTTTTAAAAGATTTTTTTCTTTGGCTTTGGCTTTATGCAATTTGAATATGCTATGCCTAGGGGTGTGTGTGTGTGTGTGTGTGTGTGTGTGTGTGTGTGTGTGTGTAGATACATATATATGTATGTAGGTATGTATGTATATTGGCATTTATCCTGCTCAGTGTTCTCAGAGGTTCCTAGATTTGTGGTGTGGTTTCTGCCATTAATTTTAGAAAAATCCCAGTCATTATCATGTCAAATAGTTCTGTTTCTTTCTCTTTTCTTCTACTTTGGATAGTCTCATGATACGTATGCTATACCTTTTGTAATTGCCCCATAGCTATTAGATATTCTGTTCCAATTTTTATTATTTTTTTATCTCTTTACAGTTCAGTTTGGGAAGCTTCTATTGACATATCTTCAAGTGCTCTGATTCTATCTCCAGCCCTTTCCAATCATCTGATGATCCATCAGATGATATATATACTTGATTTCTGTTTCTATTCTTTCCTTTATATTCTCTCTTAGGGTTCTATCTCCGTTTCCATTACCTGTCTGCTCTTGCATATTGTCCACTTCTCCCACTAAAGCCCTCAGCATATTAATCATACGTATTTTTAATTTCCCTGTCTGATGATTTCAAAATCTCTGCCATATCTGAATCTGGTTCTGACACCTGCTTTGGCCCTTCAGGTTTTTTCTTCTTTCCTTTTATCATGCCATGTAGTTTGTTGTCATTGTTGTTGAAAGCCAGTCGTGAATTATCAGGTATTAGGAAGTAAAGAGGCCTTTGGTATGTTTATTTTTACCTGGCTAAGAGATAGGCTATATTTACTGTTTCCTATCTCTGTAGCATCAGAGGATTCAGTTTCCACTAGTGTCTTTGTTTTTGTCCCCCAGCATCTTTTGTTTCCCTAGAAAACAGTTCTTCTGTAGAATTTGAGCCTTACAGTTCTTTTCAGCTGTAATCCACTATTATAAGCCAGGAGCCCTGTTGATGTTTGGTCAGATCTGGACTGAGGACACTCATTCTAGAATCCTGGGATTAGGTCTCAGTCTTTAGTGTACCTGGCCCCCTGGGCTGGGACCTTCTCAGGGGTTTCTCTGCTCCCCGCCTCCACCTTATGTGAAAAGGGAAGGCTCAACAGCCTTGAGTTGCTCACTTCCCTTACCCCGAGTCCCGAGTCCCGTAAGGCTTCTTCTCCCTTGCTGGGTAAGCCTTTGTTGTGGAGAATGCTCTTGGCTTCTTTCAAGATAGTTCTTTCTTGCCTCTCCCAGGCCCAACAGGAAGCAGTTTTGCTCTGCTCCTCATTGAGAGGAGCTGCGGAGGATTCTCGGGGTAGACACCATGATTGTGGAGGAGGTGGCTACCTTAGATGGGGCCCCCAGGAGTTTTCATCTCTCAAGCTAGTCCACAGCTCACTGAAGCTGCCGTTCAAGGCCAGCGCCTCCTGCCTCGGGGGCGCAGCATTATAGTCCGAGCCGTCTGTCACCTCTGTCATCGCTGGTTCCTCTAGGATTAGGGTGCAGTTGGTCCCATGACCTCAATTCTCTGATATCCCCACCAAGACTCCTTGATTTTTAATCTGTTCATATTTTTTCTTGTTGTGAAGATGGGAGTGAAGACTTGCAAGCCCTTTATGTGTTGGTGTAGAATCTTTCCTTTCGATTTTAGACATTGTTTCTGTTAGCTCTTTGGACATATTAAAATAGCTGATGAAAGTCGTTATGTAGTAATTCCAGTGCCTGTGCTTCCTTGGGACAGTTCTAGTTCTATTGCCTGCTGTCCCCTCCATACGTGGGCCATCCTTTTTTGATTCTTAGTGTGCCTCGTAAAATTTTATTAAAAACTGGACATTTTGAATATCGTAATGTGGCGACGCTGGAAATGAGATTCTCTTCCTGCCAGACTTCCTTGTTGCCACCTGTTACAGTTCGTGTTTATTTAGGACTTCTCTGAATTAATTCCGCAAAGACTCTCTTCGTTTTTGTATATAGCCACTGAAGCCTTGGTTCAGTTAGCTCAGTGTCGGCTAATGGCGGACGGAGATTTCCTTGAGTGCCTGGAACAAATAAATCTTGCCATCATTTCTGAGAGGCTCAGAATATATTTCTAGGGACATGTGCAGTTACGACAATACAGACACTGGAAGATAAGGTTGTGCTTTTCTCCTTTAAAGACTTTCACAGTTTGATTCTGGAAGTCAGATGGGGGGCACTGGGGGGTACTGTGTACTTACTGTAGCCATCGGTAGCATCTCTTAGGGTTTCTGTACTTCACACTCTTGATGAAGCTAGAGACATGTTGTTGCTCCGCACTCTAGTTGACCAAGCTGGGAAGGTAAGCTTCCCGCCCCATCCTCAGTTTGCCTGCAGCCCGGGTCCATGGCGCACCTACCACATGCGATCCACTCGATCTTTCTGCTGGGTATGAATTTCCTTCTGGGGCTGAAGAGAATGTTCTGGAAATAGATAGTGAGGTTTGATGTAAGAATTTGTAAATATACTAGAGACCACTAAATCGTACATTTTAACAGGGTGAACATGATGGTATGTGCATTGTCTCTCAGTAACAATGTTATTTTACAAAAGAAGAAATAATACTGTGGAGAGCATAAATCCCTCCATGTACTCAAAAAATACCAATGGACCGGCCACCATTTGACATTTCTAGGGACTAGGGACCAACAATTGAACACAAATTCTTTCCCTTGTAGGCCATATATTCTGGTATTAGACGAAAAGCAGTAAGGTAGCTTTTCGTAATATCTCTGTATAATATCTTAAGAAGATAAGCACGCTCAAGAGTATCAAATAATTTGTTTTATGGCTTCCTAACTGCCCCTCATGTATGATCTAGTCTGTTGTTTCTGCTCATTAGGGTCCCAAAAGGCAACAAATAAACTTTTCTCAAAACAAACACGATAGTGAAGCTTTATGCAGAATTGCCAAAACATTGAAGGAACCAAGATGTCCTTCATTAGGTGAACGGCTGAATAAGCTGTGGTACATGCAGACAGTGAAATATTATTTAGCATGAAAAAGAAATGAGCTATCAACCCATGAAAAGACACGGAAGAACCTTAAATGCATTATTACTAAGTATTTGAAAAGGCTCCATCCTGTAGAATTCCAACCATAGGACATTCTAGAAAAGACAGAATTAGGGAGACATAAAAAGTTCAGTAGTTGCCAAGGGTTGGGGTCATTGGGATGGTGAGAAGGCGGAGCACAGGAGTTCCGGGGCCATGCGACTCTGTTACTGTCATGGTGGATGCATGGAGGTACTTGTTTGTTCACAACCACAGACTATACAACATCAGTCCTCTGGTTACTTCTCCAGACTCCCGTGGAGTCTCTCTCCTCCTCACTCCTGATATTCAACCACATGGCGTCTTCTACAAAATATGAAACTCTCCTAACTCAGGATCTTTGCCCAGAACCTTTCATCTGGCTTACTCTTATTTATCCTTCAAGTTCGGCTTTCATGTTCATCCATCTCTTGGAGTAGCCTTTTTTGACCTCACAGCCTCTATCTGAATCCATTGTATTCTCTCCTTGTACCATGTCCCTTATTGGACGCACTGATCACCATCTGTGTATTTATTCGTTTATTGTCTGGGTCCCCAGCTGGGTGGCCCATTTCATGAGCGTAAGGAAGGCGTCTGCCTTGTGCACTGATGTATTCCCAGCACATAGCCCAGGGCCTAGATGGAGTAGGTGCTCAGTGCACCTGCTGACTGTGTGAACAAATGAATGGACTTGGTGAGGTTGGTGTTGCTAGCTCAGAGTACTTTAGCCATTTACCCACTGCCACGCAGCTAGCAAGTGGACAGAAATGGAGGAGACCTCAGAAGTATAGTTCCTAGGTGACTATACCATCTGGGAGAGTATTTGCTAAGAAAGGAGGGGTGGGGCATGGAAAGGGCAGTGGAGAAGATTCCAGAACAGTGACTCTCAGGGAGATGGTCCCAGGTATGGCGGATGGGGTGAGAATGTGTAAGCTGCATATTCAGTATTTTACTTTTGTTGAGAAATATCTTCTGTTTTCATAAAACAGACTGCTGAGACTACCCTTTCCCCTGGCTGGGAAGGAGAGTAGGAAATACAGCGCTTTTCCTCTAACAGGGCAGATTTTTTTGGTTTTCCAGAAGGAAGCAGGTTTCAAAGTCAATAGGAAAACCGCCGCCCTAGGGCTTTGTAGCATTTCCCGAAGCAGAGCAGAGGTCTATGGGGCACGGGACCGCTCGCAGAGGGGAAGGTGGGTTTTGGCTACACGGCACCTCTCGGGCTGCATGTTCCCACCGCCCCCTCCCAGACTGCCTGCCCACCACACCCTGCCGTCTGCCCATTGCTCAGACGCCACACGCCCCTCCAGCCGCAGCCCTCCCTTTCACCCGCGTCACCTCCATGGGCTTAGCACCCGCCCCCCGCCTGGACTAGGCTGCTTGTCATCCTCTCTGCTGGGCGGTGAGAGCCCGTGTTTCTCGCTGAGAATAGTTTCGGTGGCCCTGTGGCCGTCTGTAAAAGGAAGGCTGGGTAGTCCATGAATCAAATCCACGGGCGGACAGTTGATCTGAAGGGAGAAACCAACACGGTGTGGCATAAGGGCGGCGGTGGGGACTGTGTTTGGATAGATGGCTTTTGTTTCTTTTTTGGCTTGGATCTTGAGGTGTGTTGTTTTGGCATGTTGTGGTTTTTTTGTCTGTCCACTTGTTAATATATGGGTTAAAAATAGTCTTTCTGGGAGAGGACCCTTATTTTTCTAGAGTGATTTCACACATTTTTGGTGAGATGCGGTAGCATTCCCTTTTCAAAGGACTGATGGGAAGGGAAGAGTGAGAACAACTTCATATGCCAAAGAAACCAGATAAGGTGTGAAGAGACTGTTCATCGACATTTAAATCCCCACCTCCCGTTTTTGTTTTTAAGAACTTCGCTAGGAAGGAAATTGACTAAGTCAGTTAGTTAGAGCTGGGGGGATCTTTTGAAAAGAACCCAGCTTCTCATTATTGTATATACGGAACAAGAGGCCCAGAGAGGGTACCTAACTTGTCCAAAGTCACAGAGCACTT